TTTCACATTCACAGTCTGATTCTTTTGAAACACTTTCTTGATTCAGACTTGTCAAGGTCTGTAGTTTTTCCACACAACATTGTTCTCTCTCCTGTGGAGAGTGAGGGTGATTTTCTTCTGGGAATTTTTTCAGTCAAGCCACTTTGCCTAGAATTTTCTTCCAAGCCTCTTGACACTCATTTTACAAGCTTTGATGCTAATGCTTTTTAAAAGATGACAACAGAAAGTTTTCAGATTCATTGTCTTTCCTCAACCCCTTCTTCAGAAGTTTGTTGACTGAAAGAAACGCTGAAGGGTTGCAGTTGTCTAGACATGGTATCAGGAATAACATCATGTTGTGTTACTTTTCAGGCAACCTTTCTTTAAATAATCAGAAAGATGGCCTCACAGTAAATCAAGAACTAAACTAATACTCAGGGCAGGTTATGAAGGGCTCTTGGACATTGAAACAAGATTTAGCCTGCCTTCCTTTATCTCAGCCATCATCCATCCCCTTCTCTCTTCCCCCTTTTTATGCATGCAATAGCATTTTTGGGAAATTATTTTATAGTTTAAAATTTAATATGGCAGCAAATTTTGGCTATGGGTGTTTACACAATAGCGTTCCAGTGATAAGCTGTCTTCTAACCCATTCTCAGGATATCAGTCTCTTTAGCACCTTTAACATTAGTGTATCATTTTGAGGCATGTAAAAGAACATCAGATTTTGTCAACATTTCCTACTGACTAAACTCAGCTTTGCTTTTTCCTCAAATAATATGGAAGGTATACAGCGTCTGTTCAGTGCTAGTAGGAAATTTCTTAACAAGTGACATTTGCCTGAATGGTGCATAAATCCATCAAATCAGCCCATATTTCATATAATTTTTTATTGGAGGCATTGTCAGTTTCTACTGCTTTCCTTTGCTTTGTTTGGCTGCTGATAGGGTAATCTTGTTGCAACTCAGCTTAGCCTGCTTGGGGGTATCTTCCTGTCTACTGAGAGCACGTAGTGTTCCTTTACAAGAAAATGTAAAGTTGCTGTTACTCCTTTAACATAAAATATTTGCTTCATGAATATCAGCTGCTTCGTTTCTATGTTTACGAATGACTTTTCATTTCAATGCCAAATCATAATTTAAACCTTTTGAAGACATTTAAAATGGCAGTTAAAGTCAATTTGTGAAGTACCAACAATGTAAAAACTCAATCTGAAGTAATGGTAATAAGAAGAGTTGTGATAAAGTTCATGTATGTGCAGGCAGTAAAGATTATGTCCCAATTGCCACGTGGTCAACCACAATTTTAATATTCCATTAACTGAAAAATACTCTGATTTCTGAGATGTTAAACTGAGAAATGGTACATTTCTCATTAGTACATTATCAGTTATTTGACTAAATATAAACAGAAAATAACTCCATTTAGAAGACAAGAGATTGTTAGACTGGATAAAAAAGAACTGTGTGTGTGTGTGTGTGTGTGTGTGTGTGTGTGTGTGTGTGTAACCACACACTAGTCAAAATAAAACTGGTTTAGCTATACTACTATCAAATAAAATAGACCTTTAGGCAAATTGAGCTATAAAGGTTACTCAAATGTGATAAAAGCTAGAAAGCTAGAAAATGTTAAATTTCTATACACTTAATGACATAGCCTCAAAATATTTAAATAAAAAATTGACAGACTTTTAAGGAAAACAGACAAATCCCAAATCACAGTGCAAGATTTTCACTTACTTTTCTAGGAATGATAGACAAGCAGACAAAAATCATTAAGAATATAAACATTGGGTAATTATGAAAAGTTATAGAGATTGGTTAGTTCAATACTTCTTAAGATTAAAGATGGCTTATAAATTGTATTTATTCTTTTTACTTTGTTTACATTTTATTTCATAACCAGATTTTTTGCTCTATTTTTCACTACTTTTTAAAAAATTGAAATGTGATTCACATATCATTAAATTCACCCTTTTAAAGTGTACAATTCAGGGGTTTTAATACATTCATGAGGTTGTGCCACCGTTACTACTCTCTGATTTTGGAACATTTTCATTACCCCAAAAAGGAACCCAGTACCCATTAGCAGTCATTTCTCTATTCCCCCCTTCCAATACCAGCAGTCCTAAGCAACTACTAATTTACCTTCTTTCTCTATGGATTGCTTATTCTAATCATTTGATGTAAATAGAATCATATAATATATGTCTTTTTCCATCTGGTTGTATTTCTTATTAATCAGTTCTGTTGTATTTGATTTTAAAACAAGCAAGTTTCTTCTTGTACTCTCAGTGTTTTGTCCTCTAAAATTATCAAAAGTAAAACCACTTTTGGTTTTGAAATGGCACTTATCATTCATTATCTCTTTCCTGCAAAATTTAAAAAGAAGCCAGCATGAATGAAATGCAAGTCTGACAATCTCTAAACCTACAATCAAGGAGGATCTTCTTGCACAGACGCCAAGGTCTCAGTTTGATCAGAAGGCACAGTGTCTCATACCCTATATCCAAAGTGTGAAACATAACTGCCTTTACCTCATTTTTATTGCATCTAGATAGGAACCTTTCTTTTATAGCTGATTTTGGTATTATTTGTTTCTAAGCTCCCAGACCTTTTACTTGGCCTACCAATATAATTTTTAGCTGGCTAAATAAGCAATATTTAGTTCAAAACCATTTATTAATCATATAACTTAATCATTTCATACATTTAGTGTGACTATAAGCAATTTTATTACTATTTTTGATAATGTAACAGAAAAGATCCAAACTTTATTCAGAAGAATAAACTGGTAGTAGAACTTAAGACTTTAAAGCAAACTGAGGTCTAGTTAAATTCCCTTTAAAAAAATCCATTATTTTAAAAAGTGAGAAAATGGTCAGGGAATTATGTATAATTTTGAATTTAACTATAGTTTACTTTTATAATCTCTGGCTTCTATTATGTATTGAAGAAAAGGTGGATACTATTTTTTTTAAGTGTATTTCAAAATATGTGACATAGCTGGCAATTGCTGAGACAGAACTGCTTATTAATTGCCTCAAGAACCTAAGGGACATTGGAGATAATACAGGGTGGAGGGGAGGAATCTATGTAAAAGATTCTTTTAAACTCTGGGTTGACCCTATCAAGGGATAGTAATTGTTTCTGATGAGATCTGCAAAATGAAGTTACAGAGATAGATCACTGAGCTGACTACTTCCTATGTGAATATAATAGAAAGACTATTCAAATAATTTTCACACTTACTCATTGTCTAACCATGTTAGGAGACTTAATTAAGCTCCAGAAGTGTGTGTAAAAGACATCAAAATTGACTTGAGCAGTTAAATCATATCTTGGGCTTTTTAGTCATCGCTACAGTTAAAACTATTATCCTCTTTAATAGTCATTGAGTCAGCCTGTTTGCAGTGGCACATGGAACTTGCACAGGTAAACAAGAGATTCAATTTAGATTTTTATTTTAAAAAACCAACTAATTCAATGATATTTTTAAATTAATTTTTAAAAAGCTAAAAGATACAGAGCAAATAAATTCATGAAAAGATGCTCAACATCATTAGCCAATGAAATTCAAATCCAAAACACAATGAGATACCACTTCACACCCAGTAAGTTGGCTGTAATAAAAAAGATAGATAATAACATTTGTTCATGAGGATGTAGAGAAATTGGAACCCTCATTTATGCTGGTAGGAATGTGTTATTAATGTGGCATTGGGAATGCATGCATATATAGTTTGAAAATATCTTTTTAGGACCTAACTATAATTATGCCTTTATTTCAGATGAGGTGGAGGACCATCCTCCTACAAGATTGTTTTCTCTTGGTTACATGTCTACTTCCTAGTCTTGAAGCTGTGCCTATAGACATAGACAAGACAAAAGTAAAAAATGCTCAACCTGTGGACAGTGCAAAGATAGAACCACCAGTAAGTGAAATGATAAAAAAAGCTTTGTGGGAAGAATTTTAACTAAAATATTGTTAGTATTTATTACCATAAAATTGGACATTTAGGAACTATTTCTGAAATAACAGTAAAGATAGTATTGGATAAGCATATGTTAATATTAACAGTGTTTATTTAATGTAGTTAGTATATTAGATAATGCATTGAAGAATTAATCATGGTACATTTCCAATGTATCATGCAGAGCTAACAGTTGGGGAAACATGGTATTATACTCAAAGAAGAGACAGATGGCAATGAGGATAAACAGGTGCCAGTGGGGTAAAACCAAATATTATTAAGTCTTCATTGTCTCTAAGCCATGTAGAAAATCTGCTTCTATGTAACAGTAAAACATACTATTTCTGATATAAAGCTCTCCATTTGAGAAATAATCTTTTTTAACTTTGTCCAAACTATCAAAGTATGTCTCAATGTCATGTTGCTAGATGTTTTTTTCTTTAGGATTGAGATCTTTAGATGTAGTAAAGGAAAAATTTTCAGAAGCATTATTGTTTGTTTCTTACTTTGAAGGATACTGGACTTTATTATGATGAATATCTTAAGCAAGTGATTGATGTGCTGGAAACAGATAGTCATTTCAGAGAAAAACTCCAGAAAGCAGACATAGAAGAAATAAAGGTAAATGTAATTAAAATAATCATTTAACAAACATTTGAGCACATCAGGCACATGAGCTAAGCACTGGGGATACAAAGATGAGACTCATTCCCCTCATTAAAGACTTATTAAAGAACTCACAAGGGAGAATATCCAGCTTATCCAGAAAAATATGAATTACAAAGATGAATAATTCAGTATATATGATTAACACTGGATTAATATTTAATAACCAAGTAATACTAGGATTATTAATTCAGTACATAACACATAATTCTGTAAGTAGTGGGGGAAGGTGGGAAGTCATTCTTCCTGGTAGAGGAAGAGGTTATGCCTGTGCTTAAAGAAGTGACTGAGAAAAGGAGAAGATGAGGCATCTTAGACTGAGTTGCAAGGATACAGAGACAAGAGATATACAGGAAACAGGAAGTAGTAACTGTGGCTGGATCTTAGGCTGGGAACAGGGGGCTATGATTGCCTAAAAGACGAGTTGGAAGGAGTCATGGGCTAGATGATGATGGGCCTTATACATCATGTTAAAGGGCTTGGATCATGATCTTAGGACACCAGGAAGCTATTCAAAGGTTTAGAATAGGTTAAGTTCTGGTGCCAGATTAATAGAAGAGGTAATGGGCCATGTCTTAGTCAATAGGGGAGGTTTAACTATTTGTCCTAAGAACCCTATTAGACACAATCTTAGCCTTAGACATCTCCTGAGTACTCATAATAAAGACAGGAAGTTGGAAAGATCTGACACAAGAGATTCTTTTTAAACACATCTTTGAAGGGCAATGACTCAGCTTAGTTGGGATATCTTAAAAGCAACAATAAGAAAACTTTCCAATGATTTAATTTTAAACTTTCTGTTATACTTCTTGCAATAGTGTGGTTTGCTTATGTTATTTTTATTTGTTTTTTAATTTTCTAAAAAATTATTTCACCTGTGTCTAGAATCAGAATTAGAGAACTTGGAAGGAATCTTTCTGGGTCAGACATTCTTATTTTAGTCTCTGTCCTTGGTGTGGGCCCTTTGAAAAATGGCTTGCATCAGGTTGAGGCAACTATCAGAGCCTGTATGTAGCTCCAAGCTCTCCTCTTGGAGGATTTGAACTGTTCTGGGGAAAGGTAACACCATCATGCCAGTAATTCCTGGAATTGTCTTGAAAGTAATGCTCCTTTGGATAATTAATTTGACTTGAGGAACTAATTTACTGGGGTGAATGATATTTAATTGAATATTAATGTGAATGATATTTAATGATGTCAATGTCTCTTAACTACTTAAATTAGGATTAAGAGCATTATTTGGGGGTAACAGAAAATGTGGATAATGGGAGGTACTGTATAGAGATAATCAGGGAAAAGAAGACAATAAACTTCCTGGGTTGGTAGTGAATACTTGGTAACCGTCTTCCTTTCACAGTCAATTCCTATCTGCTATTGGTGGGAAGCAGGGGGAGTGGGACAAAATGAAGTAAGTTAACTGTTATTCAACAAAAAGATAGGAGTAAAATTAGGCAGTAAAACCCAAGCCAACAGAATCATTACAAATGCTCAGCAAAGACTTGTCTCAGGAAAAACGGGGGGAAAAAATAGCATTTGTCCTTTCCTTTTCAGCCAAGCATTTTGAAAGGGGAATCATACTACATTTCTTCTCTTCCCAAACATTGCTCCTGGGAGCTGTTATAGCTTTGCCCACACCACTTCACTGAATGTACTTTCATGAAGGGGTCAGTGACTTCTTAGTTGTCAAATCCAGTGAACATTTTTTATTCCTCCTCTTACTGGACTCCTTTATTTTATCTCAGTGGTTCTCGAATTTCAGAGCTTGTTACTCAGATTTCTGGGTCCCACTCCAGATGAATTTCTGATTCAGTGAGTCTAGAGCTTAAATTTCTGAAGTTCCCAGGTTATGCTGGTATATCCCACTGTTTTGAGAATCACTATTTTATCTAATGATAACGAGCATTCTCTCCTGGAACTATACTGTTCTTTTTGCTTGTATAATAGCTTGTTCTCCTGATTCTTCTCACTCTTGGAACATACTTTCTTGGTCTACCTTGTGGGGTTTCTTTTCCTTTCCTTCCTCACCAGGCCCTATTGACTTAGTCCTAAAAGGTTTGTTTGCCTGATTCCTAGTTAGACCTGCAGTTTGTGATTGCAAATGCATTTATAACCAAGAGAAAGTAAACAACTAGCTATTTTGCTTCTTAAATTTTGGAACATATATTAATGACTCATCTATGGAAAAAGTAAATAATCAAAAGAGGCAATTAAACAAGATGAATTTTCAAAAATTATTTGTATGTGGAATGACTCATGCTTAAGGAGGCCACGTTACTTAAAAAAAAACTGTTGGAATATTATTCACACACCATAAAATTTATCCCTTTAAAGCATACAATTTAGTGGTTTTAGTGTATCCTCAGCATCATGTAACCATCATTACTATCTAATTTTAGAACAATTTTATTTCCCCCCAAAAGTGACTTTATGTCCATTAAGCAATCACTTTCTAATTCCCCCTCTTTCCTCAGCCCCTGGCAACCATTAATCTACTTTCCATCTCAATGGATTTGCCTATTCTGGACATTTCATATAAATGGAATCATACAACATGTGGCCTTTTGTGTCTGACTTCTTTGACTTAGCATAGTGTTTTCAAGGTCATCTTGTAGCATGAATCAGTACATTCATTCCTTTTTATGGCTGAATAATATCCCATTGTATGGATATCCCCTATTTTGTTTAACAGTTCATCAGTTGATGGACATTTGGGTTATTTCTACTTTATTGGCTAGTATGAATAATGCTGCTATGAACATTAGGTACACCTTTTTATGTGAACATATGTTTCATTCCTTTAGGTAGATACCTAGTAATAGAATTGGTTGGTCATATGGTAATTCTGTTTAACTTTTTGGGAAACTGCTGAATTGTTTTCCAAAGTGGTCATACCATTTTACAATTCAACTTACTCTTTGACTTTCTTTGGGTTTTCATTATGCTTTTCTAAATTACATGTTTTTTAGATAACTTGATTTTATACTTCCAAACTGGATATTTTCTGAAAGGAATGCTTTTTGTACTACAAATTTATCTAAATTCATCAAAAGTATTTATTACTACTTTCTCATTACCCTAATTATAATATAGTGTGTGGTCTAAAAATGCAGTGCAATAGAGAAAACTAATCTATTAATATTGTTGACAGAGTGGGAGGCTAAGCAAAGAGTTGGATTTAGTAAGTCACCATGTGAGGACCAAACTTGATGAGCTAAAAAGGCAAGAAGTGGCAAGGTTAAGAATGCTAATTAAAGCTAAATTGGATTCCCTTCAAGGTAAGTGCTGAAGAAAAGGTAGGAAAATTTCAGTATTTGGTTGTTGAGGTCAGTTGACATTAGCACATTCCATGTTCTTCTAGTCAAAATTTAATGTTAACATTGATTTGGCTTCTAAATATTTAACATCTAATTTTCTGACTAAGTGATACTTAATATCATTCAAATATCAAAATGATTAGCCTTAAATAATTATATCAATAAAAAGGGAGAGTGAAAAGTAATGAATTAAACCACTGATTTAAAAGAGGAAAAATAACATTAAAGCAAACCAAAAGAAAGCAGAGAGGAAATCTAATTAGAACATTTCCATAGTTGAAGTAGAAAAATTATCAGAGAGCTAGCTCAGCAAGAAATGCTCGGCCCAGGCAGTGTCAAAGGGAATTCTGTCAAACCATTAGCAAGCAGATTGTCAATGCTATTTAAACTATTCCAGAGCATGGAAGAAGAAGGAAACCTTCCACATTCTTACTATGTATTGATGCCAAAACCACAGTTATTGTACATCAAAAGAATACTATATCATAGCAAGTAGATTTATTTCAGTAATGCAAGATTGACTTAAGATTAACAAATCTAATACTATAAATCCTCAAGTGAATAGAAATAAATAGAAAAAATTCCAGTGTGACAAAAAAAAAAGTCATAGGACAATGATAAATTGGAATAAGTCTGAAGCTTGTATTTTTTTATTAATATACAGGCTTACTTTAGTTTCAAGTATACAACACAGAGGTTCAATAGTTACCCATATTATTAAATCCTCACCCCCACTTGTACAGCTACTATCTGTTAAAATAGAAGGAACTTGTCTTTTTTAAATCAAAACTTTTTTTAGAGCAATACAGAGTTCACAGTGAAATTGAGGGGAAGGTAAGGAGATTTTCCACATACCAGCTGCCCCCAAACATACATAACCTCCCATATTAGTAACATCTCCCAGCAGAGTGGTATGTTTGTTAAAACTGATGAACCTGCACTGACACAACATACTCACCTCAAATCAATGATTTACATTAGAGTTGATTTTAGCTGTTGTACATTATATGAGTTTGGACAAATTTATGACATAAATTTACTGTTATAGTATCATATAGAGTAGTTTCACTGCTGAAAAATCCTTAGTGCTCTGCTCATTCATCACTCCCATATTCTTTTTCTTTTTGCAGTGTACAACACTGGTATTTTTTTATTGAAGTATAGTCCAATACAATATTATATTGATCTCAAGTATATAATAGTTATCTATATTACTAAATGCTCACCCCAACTAGTATGGTTACTATCTGTCAACATGGAAAGATACTACAGTATTATTTACTATATTCTCTAGACTTACTTTCATCCCAGTGACTATATTATGGTTGAGGTTTTTGCCTCTTTATTCCCTTTGCCTATTTCACTCACCCACCCCAACCCACCCCTGGAATCACCAGTCACTTCTTAGTGTCAGTGAGTCTATTTGCTCATTTGCTTTATTAGATTTCACATATAAGTGAAATCATATAGTATTTATCTTTCTCTGCTTAGCTTATTTTACCTAGTGAAATACTAGGTCCATCCATGTTGTCACAAATGGCAAGATTTCTTTCATTTTTATGGCTGAATAATATTCCATTGTGTATGTGTACCACCTTTTCTTTATCCATTCATCTATCCCATATTCTTTTAATTTTAGATTATGAGAAGATTAAATAGCTGTGAAGTAGAATTTTTGAATATAAGATATCTTAAAGTAATTTCATAGTTCCTATCATCTCCATATATATAGAAAAGGCATTTAACAAAATTTAACACCCCTTCTTTATTTTAAAAAAGTAATAAAATAGTAATAGATTCTTCTAATAATGATCAGATATGTCTAACTCAGTTACATTATACTTGTTGGAGAGACACAAATATGTATTCTAACTAAAATCAGGAATAAGACGATGCCTACTATCAGCACTACTAATTAACATTATATTGGAGGTACTAGCCCAAACAATTATACAAATGAAAAAAATTGGAAGTAAAGTAATTGAAAAGTGATGAAACCATCTCTATTTGAAGATATGATTGTATACTTAGAAAACCTACATTAATTAACTAAAAAACAATATAAACAACAGGATAGTTCAGCAAGTTACACTTAATGTACAGAAATCAATCTTTTGTATGTATAAATAACAGCCAGTTGGAGGATACAGTATAAGAGGAGACTCCATTTACAATATCAACAAAGATAAAATACCCAGAGTAAACCTATTAAGTAATGTGCAAGACTTACAGACAGAAACTCTAAAATACTCCTAAAGGACACAAAAGTAGACTTGAAAAAAATGGGAAGACATAACATCTTTTTGATACAAAGAACATTATAAACATGTTGATTCTCCCTAGATTAATGTTCCAAATAAAAATAGGTACTTTTTTTTCTGGTACTAGCCAAGTTAATTTTAAAGTTCATATAAAAAAGGAAACAACCAAGAAAGCTACATACCTCTGAAAAAGAGATACAATAAAGGACTTGATATATTAGATATTAACATATATCACTAAGCCTCAGTCATTAGAATTGTATGATTTTTGGCATATAAGTAGAAAGACAAATGGAACAGAGTAGAAATTCCAGAAGTAAAATCAAATACATATAGAATTTAGTTTGAATTAAAGGTAGTGTCTCATTATTAGTGGGATAAAGATAATTCTTAAAAAAAAATAGCATTGGTACAATTGGGTAACCATTTGGAAAAAGGTACAGTTAGGTCTATATCTCATATGTCAGTATAAATAAAAATAAAAGACTTGAGTGTAGAAAATAAAACCATAAAAGCACTAGGTGACAACATAGCTGAATTCCTTTAGTGTCTTAGAGTGGCCTTTTTAATTATGAATCGAAGTCAAGGGGCTAGATTTTGGGGATCCTCCAAGCTGGCTCCTGTGTCGTTGGAATATGTCCCCATAAGTTGGTTATCTGGGTGGTTCATTGTCGTTAACAAACATCCTAATATTTACTCATGGTAGAATAGTAGTTCTTATGCTTCAAATTGCATGAAACCCCCTGGAACTGGTTAAAAATGCTGATTACTGGATCTCACCTCCAGATATTCTGATTCTGGGCATGAGTAATCTACATTTTAAACATGTACCTCTGCGGGGAAGGCAGTATAGCACAGAGAAGACGAGTAGTGATTCTATAGCAGCTTACTATGCTGATGGACGGTGACTGTAATGGGGTATGTGGTGAGGACTCGATAATGGGGGGAATCTAGTAACCATGATGTTGCTCATGTAATTGTATATTAGTGATACTAAAACAAAAAACAAAAAAAAACATGTACCTCTGGTCAATGGATCATATTGGAGAAATGCTTGTGTAGAGCATTAAACTCCCTGCTGGTGAATGGATTTAGAAGAGAAGTAAATATTCATTATCCTGAAATTAAGGATACCTATGGGAGGTAAACTGAGCTCATACCATATTGTTTCAGATGGTCAGACATGCAAGGTAACTCCTGAAGCCAGGCCTAAAGAGATTTGAGATTTCTTTCCCCTTAGACAACATCCATCTCCTCAGTATTTTCTTTATTCCAAGATAGAGGCTGAATTTTTTCTTTTTTTTAAATTAGAGTATCATTGATATACAATCTTATGATGGTTTTACATACATGAAACAGTGGTTCAACATTCACCCATATTATCAAGCCCTCACCCCCTCCATTGTGGTCACTGTCTATCAATGTAGTAATATGTTATTGAGTCATTAATTGTATTCTCTGTGTTGTGCTACTGTCCCAATGACCTACCTATATTGTGATTGTGAATTACAGTGCTCATTAGTCCCCTTCTTCCTCCCTAGCCACCCTCCCCAACCCTTCCCCTTTGGTAACCATTAATCCCTTCTCGGTGTTTATGAGTTACTGCTTTTTTCCCTTCTGTTTCACTTTGTTTTTTATACTCTACAATGAGTGGAATCATTTGGTATTTGTCTTTCTCTGCCTGACTTATTTCACTGAGCATAATACCCTCTAGCTCCATCCATATTGTTGCAAATGGTAGGATTTCTTTTCTTCTTAAGGCTGAATAATATTCCATTGTGCATATGTACCACATCTTCTTTATCCATTCATCTATCAATGGACATTTAAGTTGCTCCCATATCTTGGCTATTGTAAATAGTGCAGCAATAAACATAAGGGTGCATGTATCTTTTAAATCAGGGATTTTATTTTCTTGGGATAAATTCCTAGGAGTGGAGTGATTGGGTCAAATGGTGTTTCTATTTTTAATTTTTTGAGGAACCTCCTTTGCTTTCCACAGTGGTTGAACCAATTTACATTCCCACCAACAGTGTAGGAGGGGTCCCTTTCCTCCACATCCTTGCCAGCTTCGTTTCTTGTCTTTTGGATGTTGGCCATCCTAACCGGTATGAGGTTGTATCTCATTGTAGTTTTTATTTGCATTTCCCTGATGATTAGTGATGTGGAGCATCTTTTCATGTGCCTGTTGGCCATCTGAATTTCTTCTTTGGAGAAGTGTCTGTTCAGATCCTCTGCCCGTTTTTTAATATGGGTTATTTGCTTTTTGGGTGTTGAGGCATGTGAATCCTTTGAGGCTGAATTTCATTATCTAAAGAAAGCAGTCTGATATTCTTAAAAACTTGCTCATATTTTTTCATCAATTCAGAATTTATGAATTGAAATTTCTGATAATTTGAAGAAGAAATTAAAGAATCATAATTATTTTTGTTGTAATTTTAAAAGTAAGCAATACATTCACATGGTTAAAACCAGAAAGTATAAGAAAGAATATTGCAAAAAGCTCCCTAATATTTTTGTACCTTATCAATTACCACTGCCTCAATACAGTTCTTCCTAAATTTCTTTATTCTTATATAACCAAATAAGTTTCCCACAGGGAAATTGTTAAAGTAAAAGATACATGTATTTGTAATTTTGATAGATATTGCCCTCTCCACACACCAACTGAAATTTCTCAGTCTTGCTAATAGTATGTATCTTCAAACTTTAGGAGTTTTGCATTCTGTTACATGGTATATTAGTGCAGGTTTAATGTGTATTTCTCTTGAGTGAGGTTAAGTGTCTTTTCATTTATTTCACTGTCTAATCATATCCTTACAACACATCTTTTTTTCATAAGCAAAACTCCTAGTACAGTGCCATATACTGAGAATTCAGTGAAAGCTTAGTGGAACTAAATAAAGCAGTTTCTTACTTCCTGGCATAACAAAATGTTCCAGACACATTTTCTACCTAACCTGCTCCAGTGCTAGAATCAGCCATTTCTCTGATAATTCCTGGTTGTTTTTAGTGGAAAATATTACAGGCCATCAATTTCCACAGGTTTCTTTCTTGCCTTCCATCGTTCTATCATTCCATATTTGTATATTCCTTTTCCTAAGTAAGAGCGCTGCCTTCCAACAATCAACACAGGTAACTATTTTGCTCATTCTGTAGTACAACTGAAATAGTCCAGAATTGCTTTACCCATTCAGCTACAATAAACTGTAGCTTGTTTTAAAAAATAGTCTTTATAAAAAAAAACAATTGACATTTCTATAAAAAAAAGTTATGATTCTGGGGTGAGGGTTTAATAATATGGGTAACTGTTGAACCACTGTGTTGTATATTTAAAACCAATATAAGATTGTATATCAATGATGCTTCAATAAAAAAATAAGTTATGATTCAGATGAATTTACCTGAATTAGGTTTTTATTGTTCCATTAAGGATTCATTGGAGCAGCATACAAAAAATGTCTTCATATAAATTTTAGAGCAATCCTTTTTAGAAATTCTGCTTAGATCTTTTTTCGGGCACTATATTAGAGTTTAATTAAAAGTAGGAAATTTGATAGTTTTACAATAATAAAGTTTTTATTACTATACTGATAATCAACTAGTCTTTCTAAAAATTACATTAAAATATATGTATTAAATTGTATTCTACATTCAGGAGCATTACCTTTGCCTAGAATAACAATATGTCCAATATTCTAAAAGAAAAATATGAATGCTTAATCTAAAACTTTGAACTTTCTTATAAAATTCTATAGGAATAAATATTAATGCTTATCCTTGTGTAACATTTAATGTTTCTAGCTTCTAGCAAGTTATCATTTACAGTTTTCTCATTTTCTTTCAGATACAGGCATAGACCACCATGCTCTTCTAAAACAATTTGATCACTTAAACCACCTGAATCCTGACAAGTTTGAATCTACAGATTTAGATATGCTAATCAAAGCGGTGAGCATAATTCCAAAAAATATTGTCTTGTTGTGCCTTTGAAGTTTTGTAATTGGATAAGTAAATTCAATGAAGTGGTAATATAACTTTTATATGTGCTTTAAAATATCTTTAAAGGGAAATAGCTTAACTGCTAGTTAGTACAGTTAATATGGTCATATAGGTCTATAAACCCTTACCCACAATTCTGAATTCCAAAACACTGTAAAAACTTAAACTTGGCTTGAATTATAGTAAGGCTAATTATAGTTGTTATTTAGCCTACTTAATATCAGTATTCATATATTTTGCTGGGAAGTACTCATCTGTTGATTACAGAGTCTACAGGGATGTTCCACAATATGGGATGTATGCCTTAATCCCTTTCTAAAATGTAGAAATATATGAAACACATTTTAGATGAGATTTTAGATGAGAGTTTGCAGATCTCTCATGTTCTACTGTATAGAGTTACCAAAGAGTATATGTTCTAGACTGGGTATTATTAGATTTAGTTAAGTGGTTTGAAACCACTAGTTTCTATGCTGTAGTTCTCTATGCTGTACAGATTTGATACAGTCTGTTCCTTCTTTTTTTTTGTTGTTATTAATCTACAATTACATGAAGAACAATATGTTCACTAGGGTCCCCCCTTCACCAAGTCACCCCCACAAACCCTGTTATAGTACTGTCCATCAGTGTAGTAAGATGTTGTAGAATCACTACTTGTCTTCTCTGTGTTGCACAGCCCTCCCCGTGCCTCCCCCCACATTATACCTGCTAATCGTAATATCCCCTTTCTTTTTCCCCACCCTTATCCCTCTCTTCCCTCCCATTCTCCCCAGTCCCTTTCTCTTTGTAACTGTTAGTCCATTCTTAAGTTCTGTGATTTTGCTGCTGTTTTGTTCCTTCAGTCTTTCTTTGTTCCTATACTCAAACATATGAGTGAAATCATTTGGTGTTTGTCTTTCTCCGCCTGGCTTATTTATACCCTCTAGCTCCATCCATGTTGTTGCAAATGGTAAGATTTGTTTTTTTTCTTATGGCTGAATAATATTCCATTGTGTATATGTACCACTTCTTTATCCATTCATCTACTGATGGATACTTAGGTTGCTTCCATTTCTTGGCTATTATAAATAGTGGCTTTTGGATGTAGAGTTCTATAGATGTCTGTTATGTCCATCTGTTCTAGTGTGTTGTTCAGTGCCTCTGTGTCCTTACTTATTTTCTGTCCAGTGGATCTATCCTTTGGAGTGAGTGGTGTGTTGAAGTCTCCTAAAATGAATGCATTGCATTCT